ACTGCAAATCCCATTCTCGCTTGGGCTTGCCGTTGCCCCTCCAGTAGTACACCTGGTCGCAAGTCTGGTAGACGTCGCTGGCGTGCTGGGCCAGCAGCGCTCTCGAGAGGGAATGGTTGAATCTCAGCTGCTGGGTGGAGATCTGCGCTGCCTTCACGATGGCGATCCTCTCTGAGGACGGCCTGTCGGACACGATGCGCTCGCGCAGGGAAAGCCTGCCCGCGTTGTCCAGCAAGCAGTAGGGAAGCCGAAGGCCTCGCCCGAGCACCCACTGCGATGGCGAGTAGGCCTTGGAATTGACCTGGCTGTTCATGGCCCAGCCCATTGAGGCGATCAGCCACTGGACCTTGTGGGCGATCTCGGGCTGGTCGAACCTGATTCTGAACTAGTCGATCAGCTTCCTCGCGCGCACCTGCCCCATGCCTTCGCGTCGCTCCACGATAGCATTCTGCTACGGCGCAGCCGCAGAGGTGGTCACCAGACGGCAAACCATGTCCTCCAGCTCGCTGGGGAATTATCGCTCGAACCCGCCTCCCCCACCAAATATGACGCGTTGAGGCGCGCCGAAAGGCGTGATCCAAATCTGCAGCATTCGAGCGAACGCAGCTGGTGGGCACCTTGATGCAGCCGCGCCGCACATCGTAAAACCCGAGGCCCGGTCGACCACGTTCAGGTAGATCAGCTGGTTGCCCGCGTAGTCGGCCAGGGTGAAGATCCACACCGACGTAGTCGTTGAAATCCCTGTCCAGTCTGATCCTGCCCGGCAGGTTACGTAGTGGCCGTCGATGTGCTGCGCAGACCTCACAATAGAGGTTGAGAGCCATCTCTATGAATATTTGCGATCCGCCTGTCACGCGGATAACTCGGGCAAGCGAGACGTTAAACGGGTGCCCCGTGGTCGCGTGGAGCTGCAGCGCGACGGACCCGAGCGCCCGCTTCCCGCAGCCGTGAGCGCTGGTTCCTGTGCGGCTGCGGCGGCCGGAACCGCCCCCCCGCTCGCCCTTCGTGCTGTAGGGCGTGCTTCGCGTAGGGGTCGGCAGTTTGGTCGCTGCGGTTGTTCGGCCAACACCTTCGCGAGCTGGCGCGTGTAATTATCGCTGTTCTTCGCAATCTTGCCGCGATCCTCGGCGTGGGGATGCGACCCATCGCGGAACCTCCTGAGCGAGTCGTCGAGCCCGTCGTGGTCGGTGACGATCCTCCACAGCTTCTCGATGTGGACGCCCTTCTTCGTCTTGAGGTCGAACGCACAGCCGTCGAAGTCTATGACTCGCGGGAGCTGCTCATTCAGCTGCCTTGCGGTCGAGTTCTTGTTGGGGCCCCATCCGTCGCAGCACCTCGGCCACTCGAACGAGACGGCGAGCTGGGGGCCGAACGCCTTGCGCAGCCGGGACATTACCTGCAAGAACAGTCCGGTCATGAGCTGGGACATGGCCCGATCTTTCTTGAGCTGCGGGATCTTACTCGGGTCGATCTTCACGACAAGTCACTGTAGTGAGGTCCACGGCTGACAAGGAAATGCAGCGTAAACTCGCGCGCTCTTACCACTGGCAAACTTGGGCCTGATCATGCCCCCCAGCATATTGACCGCGAACCGTTCTGAGAGGTCGCAGCCTGGAAGACCGCATCTGGCAGCAGCTCCTCCCTTCTTCCTCTAGGTAACACTGAGCTGACTGTCCGAACTGCGGCACCACTCGTAAAGCACGGTGCTGCTCGCTGCGAAGGTCGGGCTGGATCTGGCAATAGATTTCGCCGGGTTGGTGACCCAGGCCTGGCTGATTTGACGCGGCTGGATGCCGCTCATTTCCGTTACGGAAGCCGAACGCTCGCCTGCGATCAGCTGCAGCTTAGCCCATTCTTAAGCGTCCGCGCATGTGGCTGCTCCTCCTCCACGATGTGGACCTCGGGTCCGGGACTGGCGTCTGCGACGCCATCAAGTCCCTGGTCGTAGCCCCGAGTCACGGGCGCGCCGAAGACGCAGTCCGAGCAGAAAGCACGGTGGTTGCAGACCTTGCAGGCCTTCTCGCCGCAGGCGATGCAGTCCTGCAGCGGATCGGTCACGCACGTCGTGGGGGAGGTGGTCTGCGGCGGCATCGTCAACGCGAGGCTCGGAGCTGGCGCCGCGGTGGAGCAGCAAACCAGAGCTGAAGCCACGGTAGACAAAAGCCGTGACCTTTTCGGTCGACGAGGCAGCAGTTGCCTCGGCACGTTCAGCTCCTTCTTCGTGACGAGCTTGTTAATTAAGCGTATCGATCAGCGTGGCGGTCTTGATCGCGGCGTTGACCGTAGGTTCGTCGCTCACATTAGGTCGGCTGGCTGGCTTGTCAGGTCGCTCCTTGCAAGCGCCCTTGATGACCCGCCAGTCCTCTGGCTGCAACTTGATCGCGGATCTGGCCCCCTCCAGAGAGAGATGTCGATCATGGAAGGCTGTGTGAAGTCGCGGCCAATGAGCACGACGCTGTCCACGACGCTGAACACGACGCGGCCGGCCTGGCCGCAGAGCGCAAGCGGCGCGGTGACGCGCAGCTTGCTCGGGGGAGCGCCTCCGTTGCCGAACCTGTAGGTCTCGTCGTCGGACTCCTCGAGGATCTGGTCGGTGAGGCCCATCCCGATATGAGGATGTCCTTGTAAATGTCGCACCACTTCCTGCCCGAGACGCAGAAAAGGCAGGCGGCATCCCCCGCGCCGACGCCTGCGCCCGCGGGCCCCCCCCCGTTGCCGATCGCGACGCACGCGTTCGGCAGGTGGTGAATCAGCCGCTCTGAGACGCAGGCTTCAGGAGGCGGCGACGCAGGGCCCTGCGCGTGGAAGGGCAATTCCCTCGTCCGCGAACTGGGCCTGCTCGGCGATGCGCGCCTGGCGCCGCGGGCGACCTCCTCGGCATCCCCGCCCATCGCCCTTGGACTCGCCGCCCCTGAGCGCGATCTTGCGAGCACCTGGCGCGGGGCACTCCTTGTCTCCTGTCGAGTGCCCGCCGCAGTCCCAGCACTGCGACGTCTTCTTGCGCTGGTCGACCCGGATCTGGAGCTTGGCCGGGCGGCGAGGCGGCGCGGACCTCTTCGATTTGCCCCGGCCTTTCAGGGCCTCACGGGCTGACCTGATGGCGGCCATGGCCTCCGGAATAGCGGCAAGCTCCGCCGCGGCGGCCGCGACCATAGCAGAGTCGTCGGCGTCGAACAGCGCGGGGACGTCCACGTGGGAGGACTCGAGCTCGGCGCTGAAAGCCTCGAGCTCCTGGCGAACGATGTCCAGGAAGTCGGCCTCGTCCTCGTCGCCCCCCTTCGTCGTCCTCGTCGGCGGGCTCGTCGACGACGTTACCAGATCGCCCTCCGCGGCTGGAAGAAGCGCTGCTGCGCCAGCCGCCATAGGGGCGCGACTGGTTGCTCCGCGGCCTCGGCGTCGTCGGGGCGCGGCGCTCGGAATTGTGGATGTCCGGAGACATCCGCACCAGCAGTCCACGGATGCGCTGGTAGCCGCGGCGTTCGTCGGGCAAGTTGCCCACGACGCGCTCGCGCCGCTCGGCCATGAGACCGGCCTTTCGCAGCAGGAACCATCCCGCTACGTCGTCCAGCGCGTTGAGGTCCACCTCGTTCTCACGCAGCTGCTGCGCGCCGGCTTCGAAGCGGATGAGCCAGTCCGTCATTCGTTCACCTCGCCGTCGGTGATGCTGCGTAGATTCATGAAACGCATCGAGGGTCTCGCCCTGCTGCACGGGCTTCTGCTGACCCAGGTTCGCCTCCAAGTGTTGTGAAGCATTCTCGATGCCGACCTGATTCCCGTGGCGTTGTTTCTCGTCGGCGACCTCGATGTCTGCTGCAGCTGCCGGGTGCAGCTGCTCCTCCGTCATACTCAACGCTGCGGTTCTAGCTGTCCCGCTGAGCCTGAGCACGAGCTTCGACGCGAGACTCTGCGTGACTGAGAGGTTCTCGCTGAGCTTCCACAGCTTCACCTCCTGCTTGTCGTCTCTCCACTTCGAGAAATCTCCGTTCCATGTCGGTATAACCGACTGTCCGAAACAGTGAGAAATGTCCGTCATCGTTGTGAAAAGGGAGCCGGAGCAAGGGAAATCGAACTCTGTGGCTTCGCTGACGTCCTGGGAGTGAGAGACATCGAACTCGGCGGAAATCGGCGGCTTCGCTGAAGTCCTGGGAGTATGTGAAATCTAACTCGGCGGCTTCGCTGAAGTTCTGGGGGCACGACAAATCGAACTTGGCAGAGTAGGCGCTGGCGTCGCTGACGCTGGCGTGGGAGTTGGCGTCGAAGGCGTAGTAGGCGTGACTGCTGGCGTCTTTGACGCTGGCGTAGGATTTCACAGGGTAGGCGTAGTAGGCGTTGATGTCGGTGCTAACGTCGCGGACGCTGGCGTGTGTGTTCCGCAGCAGCTTGGTGGCGCAGATCACCAGGAAGACGCTGGTCTTCGATTCCAACATGGATCGACGTGTCGCGGACGCCGTCGTTGATATGTACGGCCCCGCGGGCCGGTATAGCGAGCCTCGCTCCAAGCTGCCACTGTGATATGGAAGCCTATCGCTGGTAATGTTTTTTCGCGCTCTGCGCGGCACAGATCGTAGCTCAATTAGCCAAGGGCCCTATGTTGAGAGAAAACGGTTGCGGCAGAGCGGGCGTGAGAGACAGAGCGGGAGCGAGGCGGAAGAGGGCGAGACTTCTGGAATCACACCCTAGAGGTCCAAACAGGCTAGACAACTACAAAACGGTGGTGGTAACTTAGTGGCATCTCATCGGACCCTCAGGCCTCGGGCCGAAACTTCCCCTCTCTCGATGATCCCTTTTCTTGAGCAGGGACCGAAAATCCCGGCATTCCTAATAGTCCTACCAGGAAATGCTCTTAGACCCCCAAAATGTGTTAAGAACAGATACGATGTCCTTAGAACAGAGGCCCGATGTGTTCAAACAAGACGATATCAACCAGAAATGTTCTAAGAACATTTCGTGTAAACCACAAAAAAGCTGGTTCTTAGAACTCAGAACATTGTTTGGTGGGGCTATGGGCGAGCCAGGCCGTTTCGCCACTGCTTGGTCTCCGCCGGCCTAACGGCGGACCCTCTTGATCTCCTCCTTCTCGGCCTCGATGAGGCCCTCCGAGGGCGCGCGCGCGCGCGGTGCAAGGGGCAGGCAACCCGCCTCCTCCTCCTCCTCCTCCTCCTCCTCTTCATCCTCCTCCTCCTCTTGATCTCCTCCTCTTGATCTCCTCCTCTTGATCTCCTCCTTCTCGGCCTCGACGAGGCCCTCCGAGGGCACGCGCGCGCGGTGCCGGGAGCAGGCCGCCCGCACCCGCCGCGAGGCAGGCAGGGGCAAGGGCCGACCCCACCCAGCGCCTCGACGCGGCCTGCTCCTCCTCCTCCTCCTCCTGCTCCTCCTGCTCCTCCTGTTCCTCCTCCTCCTCCTCCTGCTCCTCCTGCTCCTCCTGCTCCTCCTGCTCCTCCTGCTCCTCCTGCTCCTCCTGCTCCTCCTGTTCCTCCTGCTCCTCCTGCTCCTCC